TATTCCTAATTATCGAATTGTTATATTGTTATCTAGATCCTTCATATCATGAATCATAACTGTTGAATTCATAATTCACATTCAAGGGAGAGTTAAGAGTAGAGTTCAAGTAAGTCTTTGAGTTCAATTGTGGATCCTTTGAGATCAACTATCGATTTGAGCTAAGTTTTGAGGAAGTAAGTATGAGAATGAGAAGAGTCGTATACACGAGTTTCATATCGTTATGTAGACCCTTGAGTCAAGTCGTTCATGCCCCATAAATTCCGCATGAACTCCATAAGTTGAGTATCTTTGAGAGGAGTAGTATCTTCAAGTTCTAAGTCTTGAGTTCCTAACCCATTTTGAGATTATATTCCTAATCATGGGACTATTACACGTTACCTATGAAGTCTTTGAGTTGAGTAGTTCATGCCCATAATTCCACATGAACCCTATGAGTCAAGCAGTCTTGACATGAGAAGTATCATTAACATTCTTGAGTTGAGTCGTTCATGTCCATAATTCCACATGAACCCTATGATTTGAGTTATAAATTTTGAAAATCTTTTTAAAGCCAACAGTTGAGTTCTTAAACTTAGTTTTAAGAAAGTAAAGATGAGTTTTGAGAAAAGAGTTTTCTAAAACATGATTAGTATGACAATCGAGTATGTCATCAATGCATGAGCAATATGGTATCTAGATATACCATCAATGTTTATGCAGTATGACTTCTCGAGTCATCAATGATCATATTATAATATGATTTTGAAATGTTTTTGAGAAAGAGTAGAGTTGAGTTCATTTTCTTTAAAATGATATATAGGAACTAAGTATTCCTAAGAGTAAATGTTTTCACATTTAAGATGAGAGAAAACTGAGATTTCCAAAAGAGTTTTGAGCAGTTTGAGTACCATCTCTTTTGAGAGAAAGATATTTTGAGTAATAATCTCAAACCACAGAAAAAATTATGTTTTTAAACATATGAGCTAGTATATTTTGGGAGTAGTATTGAGCACCGATATGGAGGAGAGTTCAGATAACTCACAGCCCCCATAAACCATGTAGCCAACGTGGATAGAAAATGGTCATACTTTTTAGATGATTCCTTAATGTTTTTTAGCATAGACTAGTGGATCCACTTAGTTGAGAGGTTCTATACCCCGGCAAAGTATAAGATAGTTTTGGGCAAGATGTTGTATCATCACATAGCTCATAGTGATGGTTGTCGGTTAGATAAACTCCCACAGAGTTATATTGTATTTTATATATACAAACTGAGTTATTATTGTATTCTTCGATACATTGAGTTGCTATGTACTATTTTAAAAGCTTTCCATATATATTGCATCTTTTACTATTGCTTTATCCTTGAGTATCATGAGTTGAGTACCTTTGAGTTGAGTATCATATCTTTGAATTGAGTATCTTATTCTTGAGTTGAGTTGAGTTGAGTTGAGTGAGTTCAGAAGAGGTAAGTATGTTTCTTTTCTATCAAGTTCAAGCTTATGTTATGCTTTAGAATTCCCCTTACATGCTCGTATATTCCACGTACTGAGCCATTTAGCATACATCATTTCATGATGCAGATACATGTATTCAGGCTCATCAACATGAGCTTCGTTGATACCACATGGAGTTCGAGTTAGCTATGGTTAGCCTCATTTCTTCCGGAGGGTTCCACTTTTACTTTCAGTTATATCAGTTGTTAGGATGTCGTGGGTCTTGTCCCGACTTTCATCTTTGTCATTTAGAGGCTTTATAGATAGACAATAGAGTTTCAGAAGTTTGTTCATTTATTTTGTTAAATGTTTTAAAGACTTAAGTTGCCTATTTTATGACGAGTTGAATATATTATTTTTATTCAGAGTTTTTCATTTGAGTTAAAGTTTTGTAATTGAGTTTCATGAATTTTTATTCAGTTTTTAGCTTTGTATGCCTGAGCTAGTCTTCTGCTTGTAGTCAGCCAAGATAAGGGCTCGCTTTGGGACCAGAAATGATTCTCGAGTGTCAGCCACATCCAGGGTGTAGGATCGGGTTGTGACAAACTTGGTATCAGAGCCTAGAGTTCAAGTGTCTTAGGGTTTCAATGAAGCCATGTCAGTAGGGTCTTGTTTATGGTTGTGAGGCCCCCACTTCTATAAATGAGGGAATACAAACATTTAAGAATTGTTTCACATCTTTCATACTCTTAATCATGCAATAAAGCTATGTCATAGAGATTTAGTCATACTCGTTTGTTTCTCGGATTCATTCACCTACACATCATGCTAGATGTGGTTGAAAGGTAAAGCTTAAAGGTCCTTTATAGATGAGTTATTCTTAGCAAGAGTCTTGAGGAAGTCATGAGACTCCAGTGGGGCTTGAGAGAAGCCCATGAGTGAGTTAAGTGTTGAGTTTCAGAGGAATACACCCATATTTATATGAATCGTACGTTTGAGCTAAAAGCGAGTTGTACTCTCTTTCCTAAGCCTTGTTTTAGCTGAGATCCTTATGAGAAAGTATGTTTAGAGCTTGGGTGGTATTTTCACCCTAAAAGATAGTATGAATGACGAGATCATGAGTAGTAGTAGTGAAAGAGCCCAGAGTTAGAGGAAAGTAATGCGTGTTTATGTATAAAAAAAATAAATTAAAATAGAATATGGGTTTATACAAAATAATATTAAAAAAATAATTGTTAAAAGAAAAAGAAAATAGTATTTGTATCGTACTCTGAAACTACAATATCTCACTATTGATTTCTACTCACATTCAAAAAAAAGTTTAACTCATTTTTTTTTCAAAAGTTAGGGTTCTAATCTAATTGTTGCTATCCAACATCTGGTCTCCGGTGTGTACTCTTGTCTCTCCTTTTTTTTTCCTTATTTGTTTGCTTTGACATTGTACAATTAGTTATTCAAAAATTGATTTTTAATCTTTGATTCTAGGGTTATCCAACATATTGATAATTGATTATATTAAATTAATTGTTGTTTGCTTTTAAATTTTTTAACTTTTGATGGCATTAATGGTTCAAGATGATAGTGAAACTAGTAAAATATTTGTTTTAGGTGCCAAAATATTAATGTTGAATTTAATAATTTTAATCTCACTTAGAACAATATTGGAGATTATACTAAAAATGTTCAAAATTTGAATTTAAAAAAATCTTTATCATTCATTAAAAATGACTTGCGAAGTAGAATGGGCGATGACTTTTTAAATGATTGTTTAATTTGTTATATAGAAGATGAATTATTTGAAATTGTACCTAATGATGTGATCATTGATCATTTTCAAAATATGACAACTCGTCGAGTGCAATTGTAATGATAATGCTTTTATATATATATATATATATATATATATATATATATATATATATATATATATATATATATATATATATATATATATATATTTAGTGAATTAAATACTTGTATTTGTTCGTTAATTTGATGATTGTTACTTTAGGTTAAGATCGTTGTTCTTTTTAAAAATTTAGAACCCACTGACATGAAATTCTGGCTCCGCTTTTATATATATATATATATAAGAAGAGGGAATAAGTATTCACCACAAGTCAACATGTGTTCCAATAAGAAGAGGGAATAACCAATATATTTGTATAAAGAAATGACATATAAAATAAAATGGAGAGAGTATTGGTTTTTCAAAATGGAAAAGGACAAAACATATATAAAATTAAAAGACATATAAAAAAAAGTTGGTTTAACTCTCAAACATAAAAAGTAACATATGTTATTAAAAACTTTAATAAAAAGTACTATAATTTACAATAAATAATAACTTAAAATATCTACAAGACTAAAAAAAAAGACTAATTTTTGTATTGCTTCTGTCACATAAATTAGGATTGTGATGATTTTAAAATTTTAATTTTGGTTATACATTATAAAATAGCCGAAAAATTGAATGATATAATTTTTTTAAAAATAACCGAATGAATCGTCCTATAGAAGAGGGAATAAGTATTCACCACAAGTCAACATGTGTTCCAATAAGAAGAGGGAATAACCAATATATTTATAAAAAGAAATGACATATAAAATAAAATGGAGAGAGTATTGGTTTTTCAAAATGGAAAAGGACAAAACACATATAGAATTAAAAGACATATAAAAAAAGTTGGTTTAACTCTCAAACATAAAAAGTAACATATGTTATTAAAAACTTTAATAAAAAGTACTATAATTTACAATAAATAATAACTTAAAATATCTACAAGACTACAAAAAAAAGACTAATTTTTGTACTGCTTCTGTCATATAAATTAGGATTGTGATGATTTTAAAATTTTAATTTTGGTTATACATTATAAAATAGCCGAAAAATTGAATGATATAACTTTTTTAAAAATAACCGAATGAATCGTCCTATCGATAACCTTAATGTTACTTCTACTCTGTTTATTTTTACTTAAATTTAGCAAGATATGTTTCATTTCTACCCTCAATCTTATCGCTACATTTATTTGCTATTTAAAATTGAAATTAAAAAGACAAATGACAAATACGTTTCTATATTAGCTCACTTATGATCAAAATATATTATAACAATCTTTACTAATTTTATAACAATACATAAACTATACTCCCTCCGTCCCATATTAGATGGACACTTCCAACTTTACACGATGATTAAGAAACTATTAATAAATTGAAAGACTTCACCATTTTGCCCTTTGTTTATATCAATGCACATTGAAATGAGTTATAAAAAATACACATACAATATAGGAATGGTCATATTAATTGTAGGGGTAAAATGAAAAAGAATTAATTAATTCTATCCTAATTTAATAATTGCTCAAATAATATGAAAAAATTATTTTTAGTAAGATTCTCATCTAATATGGGATGGAGAGAGTAACAATATAACGTTATTAATGCTGTCCGGACTTTCTTTACTAGTATATATAGATATCCTTACCAAATATTTTTTTTTTAAATCATTTTTTTTCCAATAAAACATATTTTATACAAAGAATATTTTCCAAACACACTTTGCCAAAGTCATAAAGAAAAGACTGGATCTTCCCCTCAATCCAAATTAATCTCAACGCACTCAAAACAGAGAGCATTGAAGAAGAAAGAAGAACAACTAGCTAGAACAACTTGTTAATGGCGATGGAACAGAATGAACAAACTGCAATGCCGCATGTTGTGTTCATACCATACGCCATGACGAGTCATATAACTCCATTGGTACATATTGCTAGACTCTTCGCCCTCCATGGCCTCAAAGTTACTATCATTGCCCCTCAACATAATGCTCTTCTTTTTCAGTCCTCTGTCGATAGAGACCGTCTCTTTTTGGGCAGCAATATTACTGTCCGGACAATTCAATTTCCGTCTGAGGAAGTTGGATTACCTGTAGGAATTGAAAACTTCATCGCAAGCCCTTCTATGGAAATAGTTGGCAAAGTTCACTATGGGTTTATTCTGCTCCAAAAGATTATGGAGCAACTAATTCGGGAGATCAATCCAAACTGCATTGTTTCCGATATGTTCTTCCCTTGGACTGTTGATTTAGCTGAGGAGCTGCAAATTCCTAGATTTTCTTTTCAACCAGCCACTTCCATACATCAATGTGCTTGGGTTTTCATCAGGGAATTTAAACCTTACAAGAATGTGGCGTCGGATTCTGAAAAGTTTTTGATTCCTGGTTTGCCTCTCGACATCAAAATGAAAGTCTCAGAGATTGAAGATTTTCTTAAAGAGGAAACTGAGTACACAAAGACAGTAGATGACGTTTTACAAGCTGAGGTTCGTAGTCATGGTATTATTCATAACACTTGCTCTGAGCTGGAACCTGGCGTTGCCCAACTCTACGAAAAAGCTAGAGGAGTAAAAGGGTGGCATATAGGTCCACTTGCTCTGTTTATCAACAAATATGAAGCGGAAATTAGTTCTAAACAAATTTCCAATTCTAATATTAATTCATGTTCTGACCCTTGGAAAGGGTACGGTGATTGTTTCAATTGGCTTGAAAATCAACAACCTAACTCCGTTCTCTTTGTTTGCTTTGGAAGCATGATAAGATTTTCCGATGATCAGCTTAAGGAAATGGCTGTTGGATTGAAGGCTGCCAACTGTCCAACTATTTGGGTTTTTAGGGAGCAGGACAAAAATGAAGTAGACGAGCTTTCTGACTGGAGCCGTAATGGTTTCAAAGAATTGATTGGGGAAAAGATGTTTATCATCCAAGGCTGGGCACCACAACTATTAATCCTGAAACATCGAGCAATTGGTGGATTCTTAACTCATTGTGGTTGGAACTCTATACTTGAGTCTCTAGCCGTAGGTGTTCCATTGATCACATGGCCACTTTTCTCAGACAACTTCTATACCGACAAGCTTTTGGAGACACTTGGCCTTGCTATTGGAATTGGAGCAGATGTGTGGAATCCGGGGTTTATATTATCGTGTCCACCCCTTTCAGGAGAGAAGATAGAGTTGGCCGTCAAGCGTTTAATGAATAATTCAGAGGAAAGTAGAAAAATTAGAGAAAATGCAAAGTTGATGGCAAAGAAGCTCAAAAGTGCCACTGAAGAAGGTGGTTCCTCTCATTCACAGCTCATCGGGTTAATTGAGGAGATCAAGCGTTGTGCTTTCAAGAAATCCTCTTGAAATTTTATGTTTTACTTATCACTTTGAAATAAATTTGGCAAATGGAGTTTGGTCAACATAACTCTATGTATTATGCTAACAATGTAGCTGGTCTTAATTTTCGTTTAAATGCATGCTTTGCAGTGTCATTTGTCATTAGTGAAACATTAAAGCTTAATACCCTCCATCTTATTTAGTTTTTTAAAAAAATATATATTTTCTTTGCAAACTTTAGTTATTTATTCTCAAAATTAAAACTTCCATCTTATTTAGTAGGCATTTGGCCATGCGATATCATATCATGATATGTAATCGTGAGATGAAATCAACGTTTGGACATGCAATTTCACGCTGATTATTCCATATTCTCCAAAAACCATGATATGGAAATTACGTATCATAATTTGGGATTTTTAAATACAAAAATTGACCCACAAATTTATATTTTGTTAAAACAACCCCACATTTATATATACTAACAATTTATTTCATATGTAAATAAAATTTAGGGAAAAGGGTCAAAAATACCCCTCAACTTTGGTTTATTGTTTGACTATGCCCTCGCCGTTAAAATGAAGTTATTTTTACCCCTCCCGTTACTAATTTCACCAAATTTACCCCTCAATTGGATGGAAAACCCAAATCAATTAAAATTACCCAATTTCAATTAAATAACCCAATTTTTTCTCTTTTTAATCCGAGCTCGACCCATTTATACCAAATTAAAACCCCAAATCAAGCTCCGGCAATCCCCATTCATTTTCTCCGTTTTCCGGCGAAACACCACCAAAACAACCTCCAAACGACCACCTGAAACCACCACTCAAAACCCCCAAAAACCAGAAACGACATTCGGCAGAAAACATTAACAACAAACCCATTTTCCTCTACTTTCCAGTGACGACAACAAGATCTTTCTTCTCCATTTCCGGCCAGTTCCAAGCTGGAACAACATTAAGCAAACCACCCACCGTCGGAATCATTCAAACAGCCGTGAAAACCGACCTGAAACAGCTCTCAAACACCACCCTCTCCACGCCAAAATCCAGTGGTAAAACCATACTTCAGCCCACCAGAACCCAGACCTCCATCACCCAAGCTAAAACAATCAGCAAATGACCACCAGACCACCAGTTCTCCGACCTCCAAACAACCAACCAACAAAACCCCATCGAAAAACAACTGAAGCAACGCTAACAGATCAAACCAACAACACAATCAGGCGAGAATCAAGGCTCGAAAACAACAGCCACAACTTCATATCTGGCTAGGCTCAACAAGCAAGCAATATCATAGTTTCAGATCTGCCCGCAGGAAAGCAAAATCCGATGATTGAACGAGCTCCAAGCTCCGACCACACTGAATAGTGGTGCAATTTTAGTAGGAAGGACAAATATGCATGAATTTAACTACAGAATATTTGTTGTCAATTTTAGTAGTATGTGTTTCAATGGAAGAAGGAGATGGAGAAGATTAGAGAGATGGGTTTAGGGTTCTAATTTGATATAAATGGGTCGGGTTTGGATTAAAAGAGAAAATCGGGTCATTTACTTGAAATTGGGTAATTTTAGTTGATTTGGATTTTTCATCCAATTGAGGGCAAAGGGTCAAAAATACCCCTCAACTTTGGACGGGTCGGGCATTGGGTTTAAAATGGGGAATGGGTCTTTTTTTAAAATTTGGGTTAAACTGAGTCAATTTGGGGATTTCCATCCAATTGAGGGGTAAGTTTGGTGAAATTAGTAACGGGAGGGGTAAAAAATAACTTCATTTTAACGGCGAGGGCATAGTCAAACAATAAACCAAAGTTGAGGGGTATTTTTGACCCTTTTCCCTGAAATTTATAATCACATCATTACTTTTTAAAATTTATTATTTTCACCAACATAAAATTTGTTATTACTTTAAATTTGGTGAATAAAAATGATAAAGTAGAAATTGATTTGGTGAATATAAATAAGAACGGAGGGAGTAATACTTTTTTTATTTTTCATAATAAAAAAGAAAGGTCAAACCCATTTGTAGCCCCCTAAAGTTAGCACCAAGTTTTACTTAGACACTTCAACTGGGCGATGTCCATTTTAGACACCTTATGTAGGATCCCGCTATGTCATTTTGACACTTTTTCGACAATAAGCAAAAAGTTGAAGCAGAGTGTAATATACTCATTGATGATGTGGCAAACAACCAATTAAATGATTACATGTGTAATTTCAAGCTAAAAATTATTTTAAAATCTATTTAGTAAATAAAATAAAAATATTATTCTAAAAAAATCAATTTACCCCCCTCCGAAGGTAGTTGTCTTCTCTACTATACCTAACAATTTTTTAATCAACTTTTTAAATTGTTTCGGATCTTTTTTCTTTCTTTCTTTTTAATGTTGTTTTGTAGGAAGAAAAAAGGGAGAGGAAGAAAGAAAGAGAATAAACATGAAATATGAGTGTTGATATCCATTTTTCCCGTAAAAAAGGTTGAGAGAGGTGATTGTAGATTTAGAAAAGTAATACAATGAAGAAGAAGAAAAATGACTTGAAAACGGATTTGAATAAAAAATTTGACCTCCATTGAAGGAGTTTAAGCTTCAAAAAATGGTGGGAGGTGGTAGCTTGAAAAATGGAGAAGAAGAAGAGAAAATAAAATAAAAAAATAGCTAAATTGAGTCTTTCACGCTCTATTGATGATGAGTGTATCACATTCACTTTGACATGTCAACAAAAAGTGTATAAATGACACAACGAGACCCTACATGAGGTGTCTAAAATGAATATCACCTAGTTGAGGTGTCTAAGTGAAACTTAGTGCCAACTTTAGGGGGCTACCGATGGGTTTGGCCTAAAAAAACGTCTCTTTCGGCTACATATGAAAATGTTTAAAGCAATTTAATATGAAAAAAATACAAAATTGGTGATGTATGTTTGATAATCACTACTTCCAATATGTTTGATTTTTAGCACGAAATTAATGCACTGAAAATGTGTAATTGCACACAAGTGAAGCAAGACATGAATAATTATGATATTGACACACAAGTGAAAATTGTCATAGTTTGTGCAGTGTTACATAATTATTTGCGAGAATACTAAAGGAGTGATGAAATATTTATGGTCTATGAGCATGAAAATATAGTTGCGGATGATATTGACCAACAAATGGCTCAAAGTAACAATGTTGGTTCATCTTCTCGGTCATATGATCGAGATATGCAAGTTCAACGTGAAGAGATTATCCGTACTATGTGAAAAAATTATATTAAAGACTAGTACACTATAATTTATGTTCAATTTTTTTGACTGAATTAAAGTTTGATCAATTAAAGTTAGATGAAACAGTTACTTAAGTAGAGAAAAAATAGCTTTGTAATAATTTATTATGCGATTTTATAATTTTTTATTTATTTATTTGGTAAGATTGAATAAACAATTAGGGCTATTTTAATACTTTTACAACTTATGAGATTCTTATGTTTATGAGAAAATATTGAGTATTGTTCACTGCTACTGTAATTATTATTTTTTTGGTGTTTGGTATGTTATTTTACTTTTTCTTCAAATTGAAAAATTGTAAGACTGCAAGAATAGTCTATAGTACAGTGATTTTCGGCGTATTAAAAAAAAAAAATCGAAACTGACTCACTTTGTCCTCTAAAATTATTAGTCCTTTTTCTTATTTCATTTAGACTTAGAAGAAAATACATTGGGGAGACTAATGGGTACATTGATATTAAAAATATTAGTGAAGTTATGAATTGTTACTCTTTCATGGTATGCATTTTTCTTCTTTCCAATTTTTCTTTGAAATTAGAATTTTTTATAGTATAAAATAATATCTGTTTTTTTATTTATTTTGGAAGTAGTCTTTAAGGGTGTGTTTGGTATGAAGGAAAATGTTTTCCATGGAAAATGTTTTCCTGGAAAACTAGTTGATTTTTGACTTATTTTCTTATGTTTGGTTGGTGAGTAGAAAATATTTTCCGGAAAAAATTTTTAGTGTTTGATTTATGAATGATTATTTTTTTGAGAAATATCTTTTATTTTTACTAGGGTAGAAAATAATTTTTGAAATTGAAAATATTTTTTAAAAACAAACTTAAATTTTTTTGGGGGTGGGGTGGGTGGGTGGGTGGAGTGGTAAGGGGTGGGTTGAGGTAGGGGTGAAAAATTGAATTTTTGAAGTTGAAAATATTTTTTTAAAAAAAACTTAATTTTTTTTTTTGGGGATAGGGGCTGGTAGGGGGTTGGGGGGTCGAGGGTAGTGGTGAAAAAATGAAATTTTGAAATTGAAAATATTTTTTAAATACAAACTTAAATTTTTTATTTTGGGGGGGGGGGGGGGGGGGGGCTGGTAGGGCGTGGGTGGGTGGGGGGTCGAGGGTAGGGGTGAAAAAATGAAATTTTGAAATTGAAAATATTTTAAAAAACAAAATTAATTTTTTTTTATTGGGGGGTGGGGGGCTGGGTAGGAGGTGGGTTGGGGGGGGGGGTCAAGGGTAGGGTGAAAAAATGAAATTTTGAAGTTGAAAATATTTTTTAAAACCAAACTTAAAATTTTTATTTCTTTTTTTGGGGGGGGGGCTGGTAGGCGTGGGTGGGTGTGGAGTCGAGAGTAAGGGTGAAAAAATGAAATTTTGAAATTGAAAATATTTTTAAAAACAAACTTAATTTTTTTTTTTTGGGGGTGGGGGGCTAGGTAGGATGTGGGTGGGGGTCAAGGGTAGGGTGAAAAAATGAAATTTTGAAATTGAAAATATTTTTTAAAAACAAACTTAAAATTTTTTTTTGGGGTGGGGGGCTGGGGGACTGAGTAGGAGGTGAGTGAGGGGGGGGGGGGGGGGGAGGGTCAAGGTAGGGTGAAAAATTGAAATTTTGAAATTAAAAAGCCGGGAGGGGGCGTGGGTGATCGAGGATCGGGATGAAAAAATAAAAAATTGAAGTTGAAAATATTTTTTAAAAACAATTAAAAAAAAATTGATAGAGGAGGGGGGGGGGAGGCGAGGGTAGTGGGTGGGGTAAAAAATAAAAACTTGAAATTAGAAATATCTTTTAAAAATAATTTTTAATATTTTTTGGGAGGAGGTGGATAAAAAAATTAAATTTAAAAACAAGCTTTAAATTTATTTTATTTTTGGGGGGAGGGGGGGGTTTGGTTGGGGGGCTGGTTTGAGG